TCCACAAGAAGTAGATATTAAGACCTTTTTTTGCTGAAGACACCACATACTTGGGTTTTAGGACATTGAGAAATCAAGCAGGATCTGGGGCAGAAATTTCCTTCCTGTTGCCCAGTTTTCATAGTGTTGGAAGGGGCTGTGAAAGCTGCTGGGGGAGAAGTCATCAGTGGTACTACCCAGATGTGGACCCAACGAACTACAAAAATGACCCTCCTTACAGGGTGCATCCACCAGTGAAGAAGTGGCATGACCATTATGAAGGTAACCAACTGTTTTCTTACTGGATTAGAGGCCTGATCCACAGGAGAGAACTCATACCTTGTGTTGTATGCCTGTTCAAAATACTTTGGCCAGGATTATCATGGGCTTTAGGGAAGAACATACTATTGCTGCTTTGCTAAATAGACATGAGGTCATACTGTTTTCTAAGTAACTGCGTTTTTATCCATAGACTGGTACTGCTCCCAGCCTTCATCAGAGAACTTTTTTTAATTAAGAGATTTTCTATTCATTTTACATATTAACCACAGATTTCCCTGTCCTCCCTCCTTCCACCCCCTAGGCCCTCTGGATAAGCGAAACAGAGAACTTCTTATGGCAGTGTACAGATTAGTATAGAGACTTACAGCTGGCCAAAGTGCAAAGATTAAGTTACTATGGAGTGCTAAGTCCTAAGCAGGACATTTGTATCACCTCATGAGGTGATCATGGCTCAGGAAACATCATGGAAGAGGATATGGAAAAAAATGTAAGAACCAGAGTTTGTGGAGAAGTCTGACAAAACAGTGTCTTTTGAACATGACACTTCCATCACACTTGTGAACTCACTGCAGCTGTGGTTACCTGTGCAAGACATGCACAAGACTGGCCTAGCACCATTTCATCATTCATGATTGAGGGGCCCAGGAGACTACACCACTCACTGTAAGACTATGGAAAGTTAATGGGTGGTAGAAGGATGGAGTATCATCTGGATGATGTGGCCACTGATAAATCACCACATTCCAGTAAATAACCCCCATCACTTTCCTGTAAGCAACCCTAATTAAGTTCGGTGGGTCAAAAAATATCAAAGTAGGAGAGGATTGATTGAGGAAAAAAAGTGTCTCAATGGATAAAAAGGGTAATGAGAAAGAGGAATGGTGTGAAATGATCAAAATTCAGTACATTCATGTATGAAATTGTCAAAGAAAAAAGTTTATAAAGTAGTGTATCAGAAGTAGATGTTGTAATTTAAAAAGAGTATTTGCTTTGATACCAAATGATATTTAGTATTTGAGAGGCAAGACTTGGCATCTATAAGATAAGTATGGGAGAATTTTGGAGGCAACATGTGGGAAACATAAATCAGAGTGGCTGGCACACAGCATAAGCTGAATAAGTAGAAGCTTTCCCCTCACTATTTCTGTAGCATCACTATAGAAATCATTTATAATTGGTGCCAAATCACTTATATCCTGTGGGTAGTATAGACCTCAGAAAACAAGTGTGTGAGCCAGCTACTTTTGGAGTCTGGTGAAAGCCCTGGCGGAAGGCCTGTGGGTAGATGGAGACTTGCAAAGGTGTATGAGCTTTGTGTGGGTGGGAGAACAGTAGGGTTTATCTAAGCTAGTTTATCCTCTGGCCACAGACAGGGTAGTCCTATCAAGACACATATATATTGTAGCATGATGGTTATTTGCATATCTATCTACTTCCCTGTGAGCGTGGAAAAGGATGTGTATTACTGGCTCTTAGCTCCATGAATAACCAGCATAGAATTATTATTTTTTAATTAATTAATTAATTCTATGTATTTTTTACATCATGTATCTTGATCCCATTCATTTCCCTGTTCCTTCACATCTGCCCTCCTCTCCTGCACCCTCCCCAATAAAACAAAATTTAAAAGGAAAAAATAAATAAAACAAAATTAAATTAAAAAGGGAAAGTCTTAAAAAAAATCTTATCATGGAAGCTGCAGTGTGGCACAGTGAGTCATGCAGTAGACCCTTTGTCCATATAGCTTTTTTAAGCAATCTTTTTTTTGTTTTTGTTTTTGTTTTTTTTTTTTTTTTTTGTTTTTCGAGACAGGGTTTCTTTGGTAGCTTTGTGCCTTTCCTGAAACTCACTCTGTAGCCCAGACAGGCCTCCGACTCACAGAGATCCACCTGCCTCTGCCTCCCGAGTGATGGGATTAAAGGTGTGTGCCACCAGAGCCCGGCTTTGTCCATATATCTTTACATGCAAGTTTTCATTGCAAAGAGTCATTGGTCTGATTTGAGGCCTCTGGTTTCTACTCCACCATCGATGCTGGGCCCTTGCTAGGGCTCCTCCTTGATATCCTGTTGCTGCTCTGTGTTTTGGAGAACTTGCAGCTTTGGGCCTGCAGGTCAGGTCCCTTCCCATGTTCCACCAGATCATTGATGAGGTGGATTATGGGGCCAGCCAAGTCATAACCTTAGATCTGAGCTTAGGCAGTTGTAGGGTTGGTCTGCCACATGTGTGATGGAGGACAGCTCTCCTTTACAACTCTGGGGCTGGCTTACCCACACCTGAACCATAGGGCTGACTCTCTCACTCTATGACCACAGGACCAGCTCTCCCACTTGCCCCAGATGTTAATGGGTGGGGAGGAGGAGGGCAATTCTCCCTTGCCCATGCTACTACAGTGGGTAATGGAGACATCTCTCTCATGCTCACATTTTCATGGCTGGCTCACCTGCTATGGATTATGCTCATTGTTAACAATAAACCTGATTAGCTGATAGGTGGGCAGGAAGAGATTGAGCATGAAAGCCAGGCTAGGAGAATTTCGAGAAGAGGAAAGACGGAGTCAGAGAGTTACTGGCAAACTCAGAGAAGCAAGATGAGATTGTCCTACTGAGAAAAGGTACCAACCCATGTAGCTAAACATAGAGAAGAATTATGGGTTAATTTAGGTGTAAGAGTTAACTTGTAACAAGCATGAACTATTGACCGAGCATTTATAAGTAATATTAAGCCTCTGACTCGGTTATTTGGGACTGGGCAATTGGGACAAAAATATCCAATCATACTCACCCACACCTGCGCTAACAGGGTTGCTCTATTGTGCAGATCTGGTAAGGTGCAGGGCCTGCTCTCCCAATGGCATACAATTTTTTTTTCCCTCAAGACAGGGTTTCTCTGTGTAGCTTTGCGCCTTTCCTGGGACTCACTTTGTAGCCCAGGCTGGCCTGGAACTCACAGAGATCTGCCTGGCTCTGCCTCCCAAGTGCTGGGATTAAAGGCGTGCGCTACCACCGCCTGGCAGCATACAATTCTTAAGGATGTCCATCCTCTGGTCTCAAGCCAATCCAGTTAAATTGGATTGGAGTTGCAGGGTTTGAGGAAGCTTGGGTGCTGCTGGAACAGTCTGTGTTCATTCATGAATTTAGGGTAAGAAGTATTGTTTTAAAACTTCAGTCACATACCAGTAAGTGCGTATTCAAAGGTTTAGATGGTTGTATGACATGAACTATTCCAGAAGGTACACTGAGCTAGATTTGGGTCTAGGATTTGAGTAGGTTGTAGTTCAGTTAACCTGGCTCTTCAGCCTGCCCTGGCTCTGTGTACTATGATGGAAGAGAGGGTGTATTCTACATCTCTTCAAAGCTGTATGTTTGAGATGTGGCCAAATGGACACTGCTTCATCTCTACTCTGGAGAACCAAAGAAAGTGGAGTTGTGTGGGAACACTTCTTGCTTCTCTTCTACATTCTCTCCTATCTTGCTCATGCTAGACCTGCCCAGAAATGAATCAGAGGAGCTCATAAGGGGCATTTAGAAAATGTCCCCTCCTGCAGAAAAGCCGTGGTACCATCATTCTGTGTTCATCTGAATGCTAATGAATGAAATGTGCCTGTTTTGGTAGAAGCACATTATGGGAGGAGGCGAGGGTGTCTCCCTGTACCTGGCAGCCGAAAACAGAGCTGTCAATGCGCCTCACCTGTCCCCATAGCTGAACCAGACAAGGCCCCAAATGCTTTCCATACATAAACCTTTGTGAAGGCTCCACGGACGTGGTACAGATTGAGCCCCACATGCTGATTTTGGACAAGGTAACTCAAACCACATGTCTGGAGGGGAATCAAGGCAAATACGGTTCTCCAAGAGGCAAAATATAAGCAAGTGGCAACTCCTCCTCTGAGCCAGAGATGAAGAACACAGCCAGGAATTGGTCCAACTCATAAAGTAGTCACCAATGCCAGTCCTTAAAATCACCAGAGAATTAAAAGGGCTACCTATGTTCTGTTTATTCTTTACAATTCTTTAATTAAAAACAAAACAAAACAAGAGAACTGGGTATCAGAAGGAAGAGAGGAAACAAGTGCAGAATTTCCTTGGGATCGTAGCTTTCCAGTCTGAGCTTAGGGCCAACAAGTAGAATAAGACAGCTCCTGTGCCCGATCCTTGACTCCTCCCTAGACTCTGAAATCAGCTTCAAAGAGACACACTGGGTGTCATGGTACCCATGTGGCCTTGAATCACACGCGTGGAAGTCTTTGGGAGAGTCGTTAACCAGTGGAAAGTTGAAAGCACCAGCCTTGGAAGGAAAAGGTGTCTTCTGTGTCCTGCACAAAGTTGAACTCCCAAGGTCCTCTAGAAAACTGTTTCTGGGGAGTTCGCTTTTTTGATGATTTGTAAATAACAATTTTTGTGATCGATCCCAACCAAGCTTTGGCTCTGCAGGATGCTATGGAAAGCGCTCAGAGCAGAGTCTCACCCCTCCCCTTCTCAGCTAGCTGTTACTAAGGTAACGCCTCTCAGCACCGAGCTGAATTCACCATCTGTGAAGCTCAGTGGTGATCTCAGCAAAGAAGTCTTGTAAGGATCATGTATTTAAATAGGTTCATTCATAAGCTCCAAAATCGGTTTCTAAATCCCCCATTACCTCCTCTTATAGCTCTGCTTGCCTTAAGCAAGTTAATAAATTTATTCTTCCTCTGCCCCACTGTGGGTGTGTGTGGTTTGTAAAATGGTAATAATAAAAGGACCTACCTCATGGGGTGGTTTTGAATATTAAAGGAGTCAGTGCTTGTAAGGGTCCTGGAATCATGGCTGGTCCAGTGAGAGGGCTCAACAAAGGAGAGAGATCACATTTGCTATGCATTACAGCTCCGAGCGAGCAAGAGCAGTGGCTGGCATACCACACACGTCAATGACTGCGGCTATTATGACTACTCAGACTATTATCCACTTAGCTGAGGGAAGGATGTCTGTCCAAATCTCTTATTTCCTCACTCTTGACCTCCTGGTATGATTCAGACATAAGTCCCCTGAGGTGTCATTTGGTTCTGAGGGGGAGAAAAGGAATAACTATGAGAACAAATGAGGAGAGAAAAGATGTCAGGCTTGCAGTTCAGACCCCATGGGGTGCCCAGCAGTTCAGACCACATGGGGTGCCCAGCCCAGGACATCTGACCTTTCCACAAAGAAGAGAAACCACCACAGCAGCCCTCACTTTCCCTGGGTTCCCATGAGTCATCCTAAGTCATTCCCTTGGCTCCCAATCCACAAGGAAAGATGTTTGAAGCACAGCTAGAATCACAAATGGATTAGACCAGAATGTTCTGATGTGGTTAACTGGGCAAAGAGGAAGTGAAGCCCTGGCTTCTAGGGGCATTTACTCACTGCTGGTATTTGAAGAGGCTGGGTACAAGTCTCAGAGACAAATGGTGTCTCTGAGGCTAGAAAGGAAGGTAGCCAGATAGTCTCAGCTTGACTCTTACACACAATTGCTATTATTTCTCTGAAATCAGCCAGTGCATTATAACTCTAGACAAATACTTTTGGTGCACATTTTATAAGTATCAACTGTGTACTGGGTATAGTACTGGGTTAGACCCTCAAAGAGGATATGAAGTCTTAAGTAATTACCACATAATATTTAAAGCCTGTAATGTAAGTGCTATCAAATCTGATGTGTGCCTAATGAACGGGGAAAGTCACGAAAGTCTTCTTGGGGGAAAAGATGTTGGAATAAAATTGCTGCTCTCGGAGAGTGACCACAGAGTTAAAACTCCACCCCTACTTACTCTACTCTTGGGAATATTTCTCACTCATTTGGGGTCTTGTTTCTTCAATCTGCAAAATGAAGACAATGGTACCTTTGAAAAGGATTCTGTGTGTGGACTGATCAAGGTAACAGAGGTAGAATAATGTGGCAATGTGCCGGGAGCCCAGTGAACAAATAGCAGCCATTTTTTGTTGGTGGAAGTCTGCATATGCCTAAATGTTCCACATGTGTATCTTTCCAGGGTTGTACACATTTGGAATTTATTACTAAAGTTTGCATCCATAGATGGCTGCATCTGAGCTCAGAATCCCATAACCATGCTTCTGAAGAGTTCCTCTGCTGCCTGGGACTCATTGGAATCCTGATATTCAGAAGTGAGTTTAAGATGGGAATCTCCAAACATATCTATGGACATCTGATCACACACATTCCTGAGTAGAAACCTCCCTTGAGAAGTTCACACACTGTCTCTTCTGCTTCCTAGGTTTACAGAAGTTCTGGGCCCATTTCCACTACTTGGCTTCACTCTAAATCTAGAGGGAAGAGGAGAGAGATTAAGCTGTGCAGTCAGTCACCTTTTGAGTTCACAGGATGGTTGCTTCTAGGGAAATTTCTAGATTACTTTGGATTAAGAGCTTCTGTATGATGGATGACCTCTCATCAGGTTGTTCACCAGGTGCTTCCTGAGTGCCAATGTATAGAAGGCATGAGTCAAGTGTGTTTTCCATCTTCTGTCATTTCCATATAAAAATGATCAAGATGGCTGAGTCAACCCCAAGAAAACCATAGATTTCCATGAAAGAGCCCTTAGTCCCCTCTACCTTATCATCTGCTACCAGTTTCATGGGACTTCGGTCTCCTCTTCTATTTTATGAGCTTTCTTCTCTCGTAGATGTGCTATAGTGCATCTGTGCTGGTCAGCTTTATGTCAATTGACACAAGCTAGAGTCATCTGAGAGGAGGGAGCCTCAGTTGAGGAAATGCCTTTGTAAGAGTGGGCTGTTGACAAGCCTACAGAACATTTGTAAGACATTTTCTTAATTAGTGATTGATGTGAAAGGTCTCACCACCCATTGTGGGTGAGGCCATCCCTGGGCTGGTGGTCCTGGGTCCTATAAGAAAGCAGACTTAACAAGTCATGAGGAGTAAGTCAGTAAGTAGCGTTCTTCTATGGCCTCTGCATCTGCTTCTGCCCCCAGGTTCCTACCTTGAGTTTCTGCTGTGACTTACCTGGGCCACGAACTATAAGCTGTAAGATTAAATAAACCCTTTTCTCCCCAAGTTGTTTTTGGTCATTGTCTTGGTTTGGATTTTTATTGCTGTGAAGAGACACCATGACTATGACAACTCTTATAAAGGAAACATTTAATGGAGGGGGCTCGCTTATAGTTTCAGAGGTTCAGTCAATTATCACCATGGCAGGGAGCATGGCGGCGTGCAGGCAGAGGTGGTGCTCGAGCTGAGCCTGCTACATCTTGCAGGCCAGAGGAAATCAACTGACACACTGTGCGGTAGCCTGGGTACATGAAACCTCAAAGTCCGTTCCCATAGTGACACATTTCTTCCAATAAGGCCATACCCACTTCGACCAAGTGATACCTCCTAATAGTGCCACTCCCTGTGAGATTATGGGGTTACAGGATTATGAGGGCCAATTACATTCAAACTACCACAATCATGGTGTTTTAATCACAGCAATAGAACTAACTAAGTTAGTTAACTAAGACAACATATTTTACCAGGCAGCCAAGCAGAGACTTAAAAGTGGGTGTGGGTGGAGCCAAGATTCAAGAGCAATTTACTCTACATGTCTGTCCCATATTCACATGAGGCTAATTAATTTTAATTCTCTGTGGCCTTTATAGATTAATTTTGCTATTTTGTGTGTACTGTGTTGTGATTCAGAGACTGTTACCAAGCACCCCACACACACCCCACCCCACCCCATAAGTCCCCTAATAGAGTAACACTCTTAGAGGTCAGGGCACTTCTCTTTTTATTCTTATATAGTTCAAATTTCTTGTAAATGTGTCTGCAAAAGCTGGGGTTGGTGTATTCCTATTTCTTGGTTAGCTTTTTGTCAACTTTACACAAGCTAGAGTCATTTGGGAAGAGGGCCTCCAATTGAAAAAAAATGCCTCCTATAAGATTGGCCTATAACCGAGTCTGCCATGTATTTTCTTGACTAGTGGCTGAGATGGCAGAGTCCAATGATGTCAGAGACCACTGTGGGTGGTCCCAACTCTGGGCAGGGGGGACTGAGTTGAAAAGGAAAGCAAGCTGAGGAAGCCACTAAGACCCAGCCAGTCAGCAGCACTCCTGCGTTGCTCTGTATCAGCTCCTGCCTCCTGGTTCCTGCCCTGGCTTGCCTCAGTGATGGACTTATAAACTATAAGATAAAAGAAACACTTTTCTACCTGTTGCTTTTTTTTTTTATCCCAGAAATAGAAACTCCAACTAAGACACCTAGCATCCCAAAATTTGTGAAGTAAAGGCAGAGGACCAGGAGGTCAAGGCTAACCTTGGCTACACAGAAAATTCAAAACCTACCTGAGCTACATGAGACCCTGTCCTAGAAACCAGAAGAAAAGAAGAATTTTTTTTTAATCAGTGTCCTCTATTATAGGTCTTAGATGCTAATTAACGGCATTCTTAGCTTTGGGGTTATGGAAGATATTCCAGAAGACTTACCTAATGATCATAGGATGTTAGGTCATACACAGAGGTAGACAATGAATGAATCACTCAAGAGGCCAAGATAGCCCATGATAGTCTGTAATTTTGCTCTGGGCTTGCAGAATTGCACCTGCTCCTCAATCACTAAAGTTCTAATCAGCCAGTCAGCAAGCCTTTCAGAAGGTTTGCTTCAGGTATTGTTTCTTTCTGGGAACTCCCCTGCTGCCAAGTATCACATTCTGTGCATGTGGAGGCCAAATATTGTCTTAATTTTCTTGTTGAGGGGGACATGATCCCCACTCCTAACACCTGATATAAATGAAGCAGAGAAGGGGGCTTCAGGAAAGAGAAATGGCTGGTAAAACCATGAAGACACTCCTGGGCCAGGTCAAAACTCTTTGCCAGACAACAGGGCAAAAAGGGATTTGGAGGACTTTGCAAGTCTTCCACACCTGTTACAAAACAAGGAAAAAACACAACCAGGCCTGTTGTTCCCAGGCTTCATAGGGTTCCTGCCGTTCTCCAACACTCGTCATTTCCGTGGCCATTCCACAGCCTTTCCTGAAAGTCAAGAGCAGTTAAAATCCCATCAGTAGTCACTAGAGATTGTTCTTCCCAAAGATGGGATCCTGACTTAATTAATTTGGGCTGCTATAGCAAAATATCAAAAGATGTGTGACTTACAATCAAAATTTATTTCACACAGCTTGAGAGATTGAGATGCTATCAGGCCTGGGCCCAGATGAGGACCCTCTCTCCATTCATAGAGACTATCCACTGTGTTCTCACATGGTGGGAAAGAACAGCTAACTCTTTGGAATCTTGTATGAGGACACCACTCATCCAGTTGCAAACTCTCATGACCTCATCACCTCCAAAGGCTGAATCTCCCATGCCATTTCCATAGGGGTTAGGATCCCCACATATGATTTCTGGGTACACCCAAACTCTCTGCCAAACTGTGTTGATTAGGAGAAAAAGTATGTTTCCCCAAAGGGTCAAAACTATCACCTCAAACATTAGAAAACTCTTAGAAATTGCAACCCTTTCTGCCTTGATTTCTTCTTGCTGAATAAAAGAATTGTCTGTATAAATCTTGATCTCCTAGCAACACTGTGGCTTCCCAGTGCTATCAAGACTGAATCTTGTTCAGCTGAAATTATGTGTATTGTAGCATGTGGGAGAGGATTGTAAAGGAACATCAAAGAAGGGATTCTGGGGGCCTATAGGAAAGCTGCACTTCCTCTGCCGATTGATGCATTGGCTCTGTCCAAATCACTGGATTAAAGCCTGGAAGATGAGCCCTCAGGTGGGAGCCTACATTCTGGCATCTGTGATGAGTAGATAGCCTGCACGTTTGAAGAAGAACAATTTCCTGGTTCTCTTTACAAATTGTGGAGAGCTGGATAGATCAAAGAGAAACAAACATTCTGGAGCATCAT